ATGTATGTGTGTGCATTTAAATATATATATACAAAATAATTATACACGGTGCACCCACATATATTATGTGAACACAGACTTTTATTTTGGATGCGATTAATAGCGATTAATCGTTTGACAGCCCTAGTTATTATTAGTTATTATTTATATGCCATTTATATGTATATTGTTATTATTTCAATTTTAAATTTTGGTTTTAGCATTTTTAAAGTTTGTTTTTAAATATTTCTATTTAGCTTAAATGTATTTATTTAAAAATGAAAATGTACTTACTTGCTGTAAGTAAATTTAATTACTTGCCCTCATGTTGACATCTTCGGTAACTTTTTGTAAAGTTTTTGACCTAATATTAATATTTTATTTCATTTCAGCTTTATTTCAATGGCCAAAAACTAGTTTCAATGAGTGTTCTTTTAGTTTTTTTAAATGCATGTCTACATAGTTTTTCATTCATTTTTATTACACTTTTAATTTTAGGTACATCATGGTAAACAAAAAGAAAATAAGAAACGTTGTTCTTTAAGTTTTTTTATATTAAAAAAGTGTTTTATGGTTTTAATTATAATAACCTTTCCTTTGGTGACAACACTGCTTTTTACCCCACAGAAAAATTACTTTCTATTTAAATACTTATTTTTACCGATTACTAAACTCTTCAAGACTAGCATGAAATACCATATGTGACTTAATTTTCAACCTTTCATGCGTGCATCTACACATGAGGGGCTTCAGCTTACCTTGCTAAGCCCATCGAACAGCACATTGAAGTGGGGCAGCACTGCTCCTCTGGCAACCTTCACTATATTGTAAAGGGCTTCACAGGCATAGTAACGCAGACGGCTGTCAGAGTCATTAAAACAGGTAAGAACAGGATCAATGAGTTCCTTCAGGTACAATCCAGAATCCTGAGAAGCACAAAAGACAAGATTACCAAACAAAATCACATATTTGCTTTGGAATTTCATGCATACTGAACGTCAGGGAGTCAATTTCAATAACCACCAATGAATCAAAGACCTCCTGTTTTGCACAGTTAGTTCACATACTTTTCCCAGGGCAATAGAGCATGCCGCCAGTCCAATGAGGCCTCCTTTTCGGCTGTGAGGGTGCTGGGACAGCGCAAACTCTGTGGCCAATATCTGTATGACATGTCTGATCTGTGCAGAGTTGTTCTGGGCTACAAATTCCCGTACAAGCCTGGCAGAAGAGTGGGGAAAAGCATTCTAATGATTCATTCGAAAATGATGGCCAGGCTTCAAGACTTCTTGTATGTAATAGACACTGTTTGGACTCTGGGCTATTGATCATACTGTAAGCATGACTAATGAGATCATGTGGCATGTCAGATGACCAGCTCTCCATTGGGCAAAATAACAAATACCAATGACTTAGTACAGAGAGAAACGAACTATACAGTGGTTGTTAAACTTCTGCATGCAGTAAATTGTGTATAAGTGCAATAAGAAGAATACACAAGTCTAACAGGAACTGAATGCAAATACATGTATATCCTTTATGTCAAGTAAGTATTTTGCCCAACCAAATAATAGGTTATGACTCACTTTTCAATCTCAAGAGCTGCCACCTTCCTCTTCTCGTACAGTTTGTCGTTGAGGGCTCTCACAATGTTTGGTGTCAGTGGAGAAAAATCCTTTTCTGTGTTCATTTTTTCCAAGTATTTCAGGAAAAAAACTTAACTTACGCATAAGAGACAACTATAAGAGTTAAAACTGGTCTTTGAATACAGCTCGTGGGTGAATAAAGAGAATGTCTCATTAGATGACAGTTCGGTTAGTGTATGACGGAATACATGTGTTAATATTTAATCTAAGAGATTTTCGTCATCACACGCTTGTATTGTTACAAACAAAAACGGCGCCCTAAAATCTGTTTCCGAGTCAGAATCTCATCTCAAGCATCACTTATAAAATAACAGGACCTGCTGTCTGCGACACTAAACTGGAAGCGGGGAGCAGATGATGATGAGCAGTTACAGCCAAAGCAGAATAAAAGCCCTCTATAACTTAAATACTTTAGAGCCGATGATCCGGGGGAAACGATTGTTTCTGTACAGAACATAAACCAGATAATTATTTCCTCGCCAGTGATGACAGAAGCAGATCGCAGTGTTTTTCAATGTAAAAAATTGACCACAGCCGCCATATATCCCGCCTCACATGACTTCCTACAAACATCTACGGCTGGTAAATCGAGCTCCGATGAATGGATTTGTTTTGATTACGTCAAGAGTCACATGTTCTTTGAAAACACATGACTGAACAGCATACTAGCTAGCATACTACTTTTACTATTTCTGATATGGTAAAAAAAAAAAAAATGGCTGAGGTTTTATTTCTTGAAAAAAAGTTGGATGTGTGTATGTATGACCTATCATTAGGGTATAAGTTATATTTTAAATAATATGTTTATTAATTGTCTATTTTTTAATTTAATTATTTTTTTTTTTTTTTGCCTGTACCTCAAAAAAAAAATGTATTGGTGGTCCACTAGTTCAACTCTAATCGCTCTCTCGTTACTCTGATGTCATACACCGATCAGCAGGTGTGACTCATCAAATTAATTTAAGGTTTCATCTCTGAAGTATTTAATCCATGTTAACTTCAATAAGAACCCTTTGACATATACACTAAATATAGGTTACTTAAAATTGCTATTTTCTAAAATAGTTTTCCAAACGCTAATTTAAAAAAAAAATCAAATTTTTTTTGTGACACAAATGGCACGGTATCAGATATCAAAGGTGTGAATGCGTAACTTTATTTTATTTGGGGTGAAATACAATAGGCTATCAGTGTTTTAGTGTAAGATTTAACGTGTAATTCTTCCTCACACAGGTGCTTTACCATATTGCAGCCTTACTTTGTGCTGCTGGGAGTATTTCTGGTAAGATAACTTGATGGAAATGGTGTCATCTCAGTGAAGTGTAGTTATTAAAGCCATTTTTCATCCAGGTGAATGTGAGATATCACAATGTTCTGACCCGGCCACCTGCATTTTGTCGCTGAGGCAAACTTGTAAATGTGCAGTTGGCTACTTCGGAGATCTCTGTGACCAGGGTAAAGGACAGTCAGCCTTGCTGAAAGAGACTGCTTAAACCAGTTGATTTGCTTAGATTGTTTAAATTTATCTACCAGCCCCATGCAAGCTTTTTGCCAAGTACTAAGACTAAACCAGCTGTTTTCTTTGTCATGTTGTTTTAAATGGACAATTTTCTTTTAAAGTCGCAACAATGAATGTGACGTGTGGCAAAGACTTCATTTCCATCCTGGTGGATGAAGAGTTCTTCAAATACTACAATGTGGGAGTTGAAGCGGTTCATTTGCCTAACGCCAGCTGCCGTGCACATAGAGAGGAGGTCTCTGGATCAGCTTATTTCACAGTGCACACACCAATGGACCAGTACTCAGCCTGTGGAGGTAAACCTCTGGAGGTAAAGTACTGTTTCTCATTAAAAAAAAAAAAAAACATTTACATATTAAATATTCCTAAACGGCATCTACTCTTCTTAACAGAAGAACATAACACACATTGTTTACTCTTTAACACTGATGTCTGACCCACCTGTCTACGGAAACATTGTGAGAGATCCGATTGTGCAGATTGAGTACAAGTGCATCTATCCATACATCCGCAGAGTTAGCCTGGCGTTTCCAATCATCTCTTTCTCTAGGTAGGCCCTAATGCTCTGATCTTAAATTACATTGATAAAGGAAGTGTATTCAACTGATTTGATCATTTTTAAAGTAAAAGAATGTTCAAGGTGGATGAAGTGGATGCCAAGGTGGAGATGAGTTTGTTCAAAGACCACACATACATTGAGGCTTTCACCAGCCCACCTACTATTAAGCTCGGGGATCAAATCTACGTGCAGATTCAAGTGACGGAGCCAGAAGACTTCTTCCATCTGAAAGTCAACGAGTGTTGGGCTTCACAGACTCCTCAAGCTAATGATAAGTCAGGCTTTAGCCACACACTGCTGGCAAACGGGTGAGATTGGAAATCGTTTTAACTTTAAATGGTAAATCCAAGACCAAGTGTCCATACCTGATGTTCAAAATGAACGAGTAGGCTACATCATGAATCCATTTTCCAAAGCGTGTTTTTGACTTATGATGAATCACTACGGTACGCCTATAATAAGTCGACTCGGATACGGAGTTGCCCAGCGACTGCGTGCCATAGACATTAAAGGGTTAGTTCACCCAAAAATGAAAATTCTGTCAGTATTTACTCACCCTCATGTTGTTCCAAACCTCTCTGTGTTTATTTATTCTGCTGAACGCAAAGTAAGACATTTGGAAGAATGTTTTAATCAAACAGATCTCATTCCCCATTGACTACCAAAAAAAAAAAATACATATGGTAGTCAATGGGGAATGAGATCTGTTTGATTAAAACATTCTTCCAAATATCTTTCTTTGTGTTTAGCAGAACAAATAAACACATGGATGAGTAAATACCGACAGAATTTTCATTTTTGGGAGAAGTAGCTCTGGCTACAGTGTTCTTCCGCAAGACACGTGCAGTTTAGCTATTTATTGACGAACGTAGACGTCACGCGCATTGCACACTGATGGTGAAACGCGCCAATTACTAATTCACGAATTAAGGCGTATTAAAGGGTTAGTTCACCCAAAAATGAAAATTAAGTCATTAATTACTCACCCCCATGCTGAACCAACCCCGTAAGACCTTCGTTCGTCTTCGGAACACAAATGAAGATATTTTTGATTAAATTTGAGAGCTGTATAACTACCACATTGGCTCCTAAGGGACTGCCTCTTGACGGCCCAAAAAGTCAATGAAGAAAATGTTTAAATATCCCAAGTGACTACCGTGGCTCAACTATATGTTTATCAAGCGACGCGAATACTTTCGCGAAAAAACAAACAAAAATAACGAGTTTATTCGACTATTTCTTTTCTTCCTTGTAGGCCAGAACGAGACTTCCTTAGATTTCCACGACGCATGCGCGAGATTTGCGATCTGCTTTACACCAGCTTACACTACTTCAGATCGCAATTCTCGCGCATGCGTCGTGGAAATCTATAAGGAAGTCTCGTTCTGGCCTACAAGGAAGAAAAGAAATAGTCGAATAAACTCGTTATTTTTGTTTGTTTTTTCGCACAAAAAGTATTCGCGTCGCTTGATAAACATATAGTTGAGCCACGGTAGTCACTTGGGATATTTAAACATTTTCTTCATTGACTTTTTGGGCCGTCAAGAGGCAGTCCCTTAGGAGCCAATGTGGTAGTTATACAGCTCTCAAATTTAATCAAAAATATCTTCATTTGTGTTCCGAAGACAAACGAAGGTCTTACGGGGTTGGTACAGCATGGGGGTGAGTAATTAATGACTTAATTTTCATTTTTGGGTGAACTAACCCTTTAAGTATGTTTTTTTTATAATCTGCTTGCGTTCCAGTGATGGTGGAGCTCTATCTATTTAGAACTCAACCCCTCCACCCATTAGATAGATATATTTGGTCAACTCAACCCATAACATCCAGAGAGGGGGAGCTGGATGTCATTTGGCTCTGCAGGGAGCACCACTTGCCTTCATGCTTACTTTTTCTAAAATTTGTACGTTTCCATACGAACCGCGTTGTACAATTTTGTATGAAATCGCCACCTTGTAAAATGGTTACTTTTTCTCACGAGATTGAGTTGCAATAATTTCCAAATAAATATGCCTTGACGTTTTCATTTTTTGTCTTTAAGGTGCGCAAATGACAAAACGACCTCATTTGGTAACGGTACGCTGCACCCTTCAGGAAGAAACGGCGAGGGTTCGACTGTCCGTTACTCCTTCGATATGTTTCGGTTTATACACGAGCCCCACAGTTTCTATCTGCACTGCACTGTGCATCTCTGCACACCTGAGGATAGATGGTCTTGTATTCCTGTAAGCATTTTTTTTTTTACCTGTTAGGATTTGGACAATCACATTTTCAATTTTTAAGCTAACCTGATTTATTTTTAGGAATGTAAAACTATATCTAAAAGAGAGGTTGTTGTAGAGGAGCAGGCTCAAGGCCTACTGTCTTATGGACCAATCAAACGAGAGCTACCAGTTAGACCCAAGATAAGTATGTTTATATATGGTGTTTAATATATAAATACCATATGTAGCAAATGCTTTATCATGTTTGAACTGTTTGGATTCTCATTTTAGATCTCCTCACATTGGTGCTTCCATTGGGAGTGATTTGGACTGTGGGCATCTTCTTTCTCATCCTTATCAGCTTCGCTAAAGCTGGAATAAGACGAAACCTGACAAACACCTAAATAAAACTCAAGCTAAAATAAAACTCAAAGCTACTTCAAGAACACAAGCTAACTATTGGAATGGTAGTCCTGCGTGGACTCTTCATGATGGGCCCTTACACATTTTCCTATATGCTCTGTCAAGAAAATTCTGTTTTTGACTTAAAATAAGCTTGAATGTGAGAGATGTGCAGAGAGACGCATTTTGATCAACCAGTGCTACTATTGTTTTTTTTTGTGTGTGTGTGTATTGAACTTTTTTACAGTACTGAATATGGCCAACAGATGGCAGTGAGAACTAAAATTGGAACACATTTGCTTAATTTTTTCGTTCTGTAAATAAACCAACCGATTTCTTTACTGTTCCCCTCATCTGTAACGTATTTTCTTTTTAAATATGTGGTTTGTGTATTATAAAGAAAACACATTACGGGGTATTACCGAGAAGTGGGCAGGGACTCGGTTGCGGCTGCGTGCCGCAGATCAGCATAAGATTCAGATGAGAGTTCATGCTCATATTTGGTGTCCTGAAAAAAAAAAAAAAAAAATTATTGAGGTCGGATCACTCTGATCACACGCCGCCTGGTCCTCGACATTTGATGGGTTTCCAGGCGGCACTTACTTACATTAAACATAGACTACAATGCAAATATCAACAAGTAGTATTTTATTCAATATTGAGTAGGTGTAGCTGCTGCTCATAATTTACAATTACAATCGTGCGCGCGCCACTGGGGACCTTTACGAACTGTTTGCACGAGGGAAAACTTGACCGGAGAAGAGAAACGTGTGCTAAATTGGTGGGTCTGTTGTAGTCCTAAAAGATGTGTTAAAGACTGTACAACCTCTCAGGTTTCCTTTAAGCTGGGAGAAGGTTTTGTGTTCATTTCTCTTTGCTGTCCCGGGAGTAAAGAGATGTCAGCCCGCAGGAGTAACGGTAGATCGCATCGCTCGCTGAGACCCATTAGTATGATTTTCATCCTGCTGTTTGTCAACATTGCTGAAACAGCTGCAGAAGAAGAAGCTTTCAACGCAGAGGTTTGTAGACTACCTCGTTTTGAGTGTTGTACAAAAACACGCGAAAAAACGGTGTGGCTTTATTATCTGTTAATGCCGATATGTGAAATTCTGTTTGGCTGTATTTGTCGGTGCTGAGGATTGGAAAATGAAAGCATCTAACAAGTTTTGATATATAATATATATGTGTGTGTGTACACAGACGCGCACACATATTATGTAAACAAAAACTCATGTTAGATGCGAATAATCTCGATTAATCGACTTGACAGCTTTTTGAAAATGTGTTTTAGGTTCAGTTTAGGGGAAAAGGCATCACATTTAAGAAAACTTTATACTCTGATGTTTTTTATGACATTCCTCATATACTTTTCACTTCTCAATTGGTTCTTTTAATATCCGATTTAAAATAGCCATTCACACTAAAGTGAGAAATGCAGACAAATTACAATTAGACATCCCAAAACAAAGATGAAAATATATGTAGGCTATGGTCATATACAGTAGATAAGAAAAACTTTGAATAAAAATGATACTGTAAATAACATCAATAGTAACTATTATTATTAAAATAATGGATATCGTTTTCTGTCATAGTTTACTGATCATTCTTTTGCATCAGAAAGCATCAATAAAATTGATACAAATATTGGTTATTGAACACATACACTGGCGTAGGAAACGGGGGGACGTGTCCCCCTCAATATTGAAAAATGTTGACCCAAAAAAATGCATACCCGTCCTAACCTACCTGACAATGTTATTTTTGTTATTTATTTATTATTGTTAGCTCCATGTTACTTATAATATCACACACCTACCTTTTTTGCAGTTTGAATAAATAATAAACACAGCAGTTTTGACTCTTCTCCACTTTATCACTAACGCCAAAAAAACTGCGACCGTAGCAAGTGCGCACGACCCATCTACGGCAAGCCCCGAGGGGAAAAATACATTGTATACACGCATTCAACGAGCAAAAAAGTCTGTTACAATAATAATAAAAATATTTTGAAGACAGTTACACTGTATTGAGACAGTTGAGAAACAATAATAATTTTACAGTTTTCAACAATAATTGTCATTATTGAATCCTTGCTCTTATTTTGTTTCTGATTTTTCAGTTTTGGCATTATTTTAGCAAATAATTTATTTTTATATATTTTGAGACGGTTTGTTTTAAGAAGTTTCAAAGAGTTAGTAAAAGAGTAAAGTAAAAAAAAATTAAGTTGGCATATATTTTTTTTATTTATTAAGTATTTATTTTGTATTTAAACTGTATTCATTTATAATGCATGATCATTGCGTGACATTTGTGTCAATCAATCGTCAAGCACAGGTGACTTCGCGTAGTGGGACGGGGCCCCAAATCCAATTCAGCTTAGGGCCCCCAAAACGCTCAGACCGCCACTCTATGTACCACATCACCAAACTGTATGTTACTATTATGGTGGTGGGATAGACGTTAATTTATAGTTGCCAATATGTCCCCCCCAATCTCAAAGACATTCCTACGCCCTTGGACACATACATAAAAAAATAATCAGCATCTTTATATATATATATATATATATTTAAATATTTGAGTTTAGGCAGTGTTTATTTAGTTTAACATTTCCTTTTGAATTCTAATGATTGCGGTGTAATACCATCCTCACCACACTACTTGGTAGTAGTTGTTTTTCAATACATTGTTCACTCTCCAACTTTATCTGTCTGTTGTTTCCTAAAGTCGTGGCTGAGGACATATGGCTACCTGTCCCAGGCTAGCAGACAGATGTCCACCATGCAGTCAGCCCAGATCCTTTCTAGCGCCATCAAGGATATGCAGCGCTTCTATGGCCTGGAGGTTACCGGACACATGGACTTGGCCACTCTGAAGTATGATTTCCTCTTATTCAACTGCCTATGAAACAACAACAGAAACTCAGTTTGTTTTAATTGTGTGGAGTTAACTGAGTAAATTGACTTTCAGAAAGATTTTGTTTGGGCGCAGTACCACACTTTTTCACTAGGGCACAACCAGACTCCATTACCACCCATATAAGGGCGCCTCCATTTCCATTTGTTTTGAGTGATATGAACGATTATTTCCACAATTTTCATACAATTTATGAAGTAGAGATCCTATTCAGAAGTAATATGATAAGTTTGGCTGATTTTGATGTGAATTAAACCTCTAAGAAAGGCATACAAAGAACATGCATGTGCGTCATAGCTCGCTACCACATCACAAATGGTGAATTTATTATTATTTTTCTTTATATTTAAAACATTTTCAGACCTTCTAAAATAATTGAATGGATGCTATCTTTTGAACTCTTGGCATGAAAACAAACTGAGGTATCTACCATTTTTTTTTTTTACGATTTTTCATGTTCATTGCTATTTCAAAATAAAGGTCTGAACATGCCTTTGGAGTATGAAAATATTCTTGTTGCAAATAGATAAATTACGGCTCCTCTGTAATTTATTTTGAAAATCAAAATCAAATATGGAACCTAAAGATTGTAAGCTTTCAAATGATATATAGTTTGCCAATATTACTTAAGGTTTTTACTAAGATATTATTGTTTAAAAATATAATGGCAAATGTGCCACGTGTGGGATGGTAACTAAAAACTAAGAAAAAAAATGTTAATGGAAAGCTGAAATTAAATACAATGAAATATGAGAGTTCGAAGAAAAAAACTAACAAAAAAAACTTAAGTTTAAGTTGAAATACTAAAATTACTAAAACTAAAACTGGACAAGATACAAATTTAAATAGAAATGTCAAAAAACTAATTAAAATGACAAAAACACATACAATAATTACTAAAACTTAAAATAAAATTTACATTTTTTTTAAAAGCACATGGTACATGCTAGTATATAATTAATACTATTAATTAATTATATGTAATTTAATTATATGTAACTTATGTTAAAATTTCCGTGTGTGTGTATGTATGTATATATATATATATATATACATACACTGTATATAATGTTTTTTTTTTCCCAGGGCCATGAAAAGACCTCGCTGTGGAGTGCCTGATCGTTTTGAGGAGTCAACGGAGCGAGGTGCTCGGCGTAAGCGGTTCGCACTTACTGGCCACAAGTGGGATCAGGACAAGCTGACTTATAGGTGAATGAAACATCAACACAAAAACAAATTCAACTTACATTGATCACAATAATAATGACCAGAAAAAACGTCTTCATTTCCTGCTCAAGTATTCAGAACCACTCACCCAAAGTTGGCCAGGAGCAGACCAATGAGGCTATTCGCAAAGCCTTTCGGGTATGGGAGAAAGTAACGCCTCTGCGGTTCGAGGAGGTCCCATATCATGAGATAAAGAATGGCAGTGAGGGGCCTGACATAATACTACTGTTTGCCTCTGGGTATCATGGCGATATGTCTCTCTTCGATGGGGAAGGAGGGTCTCTGGCACATGCTTTTTTCCCAGGTCCCGGAATGGGAGGAGACACACATTTTGACATAGACGAGCCATGGACCTTGAACCAACGGGAGGGCTCAGGTGTGAACAATTTTCTGCAATCATTTTCCTACTTCAAAGAAAATGTACTTTATATTAGCTAAGCATTTACTTTCTCACAGAACCTTTAGATGTTGGCGGCATTTAAATGTCTTAAAATGTTAACCCTTTGTTAGGTATTGACTTGTTTCTGGTCGCTGTTCATGAGTTGGGTCACGCACTGGGGTTGGAGCACTCCAAAGACCTTTCCGCCATCATGTCGCCTTTCTACCAGTGGATGGACACGGAAAGCTTCTCATTACCTGAAGATGATATAAATGGCATTCACCAGATCTATGGTAAGCTAGTCTAATATACCGGTACTTCCTGTTTCAGTTAATTTATCTTACTGTCCATTATAGTTAGTACAGTTTCTAGAACAGAACAGTTCAGGTTAATATTGAGCTACTTACATTTGAGAACCAATATTGACAGTTACTTTGTCTCTTTGCCAACAAATAAGTTCCAAACAAAGCAACAACGGAAACGTTGTGTGTCTGCGAGTAACACACAGTAGTGGTGCGTTGTTCATAAATAAGTGAATGATTAAATTTTTTACTCAAAAAGACAGGTTCATACCTGAATGAATTGACATTTTTTTTAAATAGTTGGTTTACTGAGATATGCAGGGATTCACTTATAAATGTAGTCACTTGCTTTGTTCCTGAATGTATCAATGTTTTTAATGATAACCCTCTATCGACACTCTGAAGCTTGAGTCACCCAAAAGTTATGAAGTCAAGAGCACAGAATTATTATTTTTGTTGTTGGTTTGAGTCTAATGTTGTTTGATTAACATTAAAAAACACAACACAGCAGGAATATTAGGCTGCTGTCACTTTAAGACAATGCACAGAATATACTGATACTGTTACACATGCGTGGTCTTTCTCCACTGTTTTCGTTCGCATAAGACATAACCAACTATGTTTACTAGGATACTAGCCAAGACAGGCATGTTGACATCATTTTGTATGAAATTGTCCTTTCAAGCGCAAGAAGATGTGAAAGACGGGAAAATAAATTTAGTATTCGTGTGCTGTCAGACACAGCTTTCTGGGCACTCACTTCGCATGTGTATGCACACAAAACGTCTCACAGTGAAGTTTTGCACTGAATTGAGCTCTCTTTCGCATGTTCTTGCGCTTGAATGTTTACTTTTGCATGGGACAATGTCCAAATTACACTTTTGCAGTCAAGAATGTGTATCTGATGCAACTGTGAGTTCTCACAATGTAGCTATCCACATATTTCTATTGTATGAGCTTGAGACTTCAGTCCATTTGCATTGGGTTCTGCACCAACAATTTTCTCAGTGTATGAGTCTGTTTTCTCCATTTGAAAGCCTTCCACTGCAGGCTGAATGAGCCTCATGGGCCTTCTGGTGCTGGATGGAAAAGTGTGACGTGTTCGGAGTCTATTCAGTGTGGAAAAGAGTATGATTAGCTAAGTGTGAAAATGCATTATGGTTTGGTATTTACAGGCCCTCCAGAGACTGTCATCACTCAAGCAACTCCAACCACAACCCTGTTTACAACCACTGCCGAGCCAGAGCCAACCACTACAGTGGCCCAACCAAAAACTACCAGACCCTCGCTGCAGCCCACCAAGCCCTGGGTGCCTCCGGTCAACCCCACCCATAGACCCCAGCCCACAGCACGCTCGGATCAGGATGCACCTGACATCTGCGAGGGGAACTTTGACACGGTCACCATGCTGAGAGGGGAGATGTTTGTGTTCAAGGTTAGAACGAGTGATCTTCAGTAAACGCAGTTATAGTGGTTCTTGATAAAAAACTGCATAGCAAAGTGCTAAAAACCATTTTGAACATCTTAGCAACATTTTAAAACAATAGTGTTTTTGATAACAATTTGAATCGGTTTTCTACAAGAACATGATGGTTGAACTTTTCCAACAAAGCATACAAATCCAGACATCTTTTTTGTTTGAGTATTATGATTAAATGAATGTTGTTTTACCTTTTCAGGATCGCTGGTTCTGGAGGGTTAGAAGGAACCGAGTTTTAGATAATTACCCAATGCCGATCTCCTTCTTCTGGATGGGGCTTCCAGAGAACATAGACGCTGCCTATGAACGACATGATGGGAAATTTGTATTTTTTAAAGGTCTGAGTTATGAATTCAATATTTAAGAACTTAATTTTTGTGAGGTTTATTTTTAATGCAGTTTTGCTTCTCAAGTAGTTCTCTTTTTTAGGGAGGTTTACAGATTGACAGGGTTTTTTTCTCCCAGTGAAGACCCAGAAAGCAGAGAATGTGCATCTTGTTTGTATGAGAATTATAGACTATGACATCTTCAAAAATGACAACACCAAAATCATTTAATATTTCCTAGATATCAATCCTCTTCTCCTTTAAACAGCTGTTCTTGCTGTAACAGCATCTTGAAGTCAAATTATGTCATTTGTAAAACACTCTGAGAAGGAAAGTCTGGCAGCGTCACAGGACTCCAGATGCTGACTGCTCTGTTTTCATTCTGAGAGAAGAAACCTAGAGAACTTTGCTGTAGGGAATGTGTAGTAGAAAGAGCCACAGTTATTGTCTTGTTTTTATGCAGATTGTGAGACTTCATGTTTCATTTGTGCATTTGCTTGAAAGGAAATTTGCTTTCATGCAACACAAAACACTTTTTGTGCAATCTCACTAGTTGAATAGAGAGCACTGTGATATCATCTCTCAGCCATGCAATCCCTCCCTTTCCCTCTAATGTGGCTCTTTGTGTTTTGTATCAATCCTGCAGGAAGTAAATACTGGCTTTTCAGAGAAGCAGACGTGGAACCTGGATACCCACAGGACTTGTTTCGTTATGGTCAAGGCATGCCTGACAGAGTGGACACGGCAGTGTGGTGGGAACCATCTGGCTATACGTACTTCTTTCGAAGAGACAGGTAAACATGCCGGGCCCTTGTGGAAAAGGCCAGATGTTCAACACAGCAGTCAATAGAACAATATATTTCATATAAAGTTGTTTTAGAGTCCAGTTTGATCTGGGATTATCATTACTGCAATGTGAAAAACGTATTATTTTAATGTATTATATGCCAAAAGTGCTGTCCGGCCTGGGAACATTGATATCTTCATCCTTTAGTCAAATTAAAGCATAAGATTTTTTTAAAGCACATTGCGTAGTTGTTAGCCTGGTTAAAGCCAGACCATTCTCAGTTGTAACTGAGTTATGGTCTGGCAAAGCGTCATAGACAAATCATTTCCAGAGGGACGTCACCAACGGACGTCGCGGGTAGACCTAAAACCAATCAGAGCGATGAAGGAGATGACATATGCAGAGCCGGCAGAG